CTACCCAGGTGTATAAATGGGTACCGGCCATTTTTTTTTGCCGGGGGTAGCCCTGTGATGGATTAGCATCCCACCCAGGGAGGAATAGAAATACTCCTACTCGCTTCATGCTACAGAAACCGGAGATACACGCTGGCCTGATTTAAAACTGTGGGTTTTATGTATGTTTCAGTGTATGTTTTTTATTATTATTATTTTTATGCATAACAAGCAAATTTAATTTAAAAATCCAAAAAGCAAAATTATTTTTTAAAACACCTCCTGTGCTCCTCCACGATCTCTTTGTCATTGACAAACACTTTCAGATCTCTCAGCTCTTGAAGAAAAACTCTGTCAAATTCAGCACCCGTGTCTCCTACATCAGCAGCTACAGAAAAGCAAAACTGCAACTTAGGACATCTGACATCAAACAACAAAACGTCCTAAAAGAGAGTCTCGGGCAATTTCATACACAGCCAACCCTGTACTAGCAGGTTAATCTTTTATTCATATTCTAACCAGCTGTGAGGGATCCCTGTGCCTTTACCCAGGAGTGCTAGAGAGTACCATACTCTTTGGAAAATCCACCAAAATGCTGGGGGTTAGCCTGCAAGGTAGTGGCATCACATTCAGGGGGAAGCATGAGACTATTATTACCATTTTATGCTATAAAACTAATTTAAAGCTACACTAGTCACCAATTAATCTGCAAACACAGACATATTTCCAGCTGTCACATGAAAATAACGTCATACTATTTTCGGCAGAGACGAACAACAGCTGGAAATATGTCTGCGTTTGCAGGCTAGTCACTAAAAGGCTTGGCTGTTTTTTTTTTTTTCCCTTTATACTGTTCTTGGCCAACAAGTATTATTTTGCAGACTTAAAGTAATAATAACATTGGTCAAGATCTGATTAGCTCTTTTAGCCTGTGAACAAGGCAAAAAAAATTGGACAAGTGTAAAAATAATTAGGTGAGCAAAGCGAGACAAAATTTTGATGATTTTTTTTCCTCTCCAGACTGCTCTCAGCTAGCTCTGACCATCTGTGTTATTCTCCACCCTATGACCCAATCAGGAGCCTTATTTTAGCACTTACGTGTATTTTGGTCAGAATTAAATTTAAACATACAGTTTGATAAAATGTACTAAGCTTCAAGAAAGAAACATCAAATTAGAGTTGTACATATTACAATTTTGCAACTGGCCTTCAATTCCATGCTGTCAAAATGACTACTTTCTCCCCTTTTTGGGAAATGTTTACCAAGTATTACTGTTACTAACTAAAGAAATGAATTTAAACTGAAACAACAATCAGAGAGTAAACCTGCCAATGACTTTAAGACAGATGCTTACAGATGATGACTTTGCGAAAGGATTGTGGACGAGAAGCTGTGAAAAGTTAGTGAAAGGTTAATAAGTTAGTTAATGACCTCATTAGAGGGTTTTATTTTTACAGAGCGGTGTTATGTATGGTCCTGAGATAACTGTTACCATCTAGTTAGTGTTAGCTAGTGTTAGCAGAGCTGTATACAAAAGGATTAGCACTGAACATTAAAATGGATTTTAAGAACAACTTGTACTAAACAACATTTTTTTCTTGATTGGCGATGCATGTAGATGCTTCATTCTCTACTCATTTCATATTATGATGATAGACTCTTCTTTTACAAATGCCCCATGCTCCAATAGTTATCCTTTTCCCTAGAAATTGTGAGATATGGGCTTTTGACCAAATAGATCATTGAATGATGCAATTCAAGAGTTTTCATTGGCTTACGCACCAGGGTATATGAGCAATTATATCATGTTCTACAAATATGGTAGCGTACGCATAACTTTCGAGGGCAGTTCTGATTTTCTTTTATTTAAACTTTATATTTTTGTGGGCATTTTTAATAAAACAATTATTCCACTGGTGCTTGTTGGATTTGAGATGATTATAGCCAACTGGGCGCTATACGACTCATTGGCTATCTATCATCGCATATTCCAACACACGCTTATGGAATAATTGTTTTATTTTTTCTTTCTTTCACGTGTTTCTGGGAGGAGATGCAGCCTTGGTTGATAAACACATTTACAAAAAGATCCAGGCTGATACCCTGCCATCTGATGGCTGAACTAGCTTGGTCAATAACAGGTACACAGTGTTTGGAGACTTCATTAGCTTGTTTTAAACTAACCAGAAGAGCCTTCAACTGATCCAACAGTCCAGTGGTCTAACATCTGCTCGGCACAGAAGACAAGGTCATCAAATGTCAGGTATGATAACCTATTAAATACATGGAAGAACCAACTTTTGTCGTCACAAACCTTGAACTCATTTTTCTGATGCGCATAACTCAATAACTCAATAAAAAACCTCAAAACACTTTCCTAACTAAGGTAAAAAGAAATCCACAAAGTTATACTAAGTCAAAAATAACAAGCCAGGTTTTTCCACTCTTCATTGCATGTCTTTCTTCTAAATTTAAAGCCACCAAATTAAAAAATGCCATTTTCAAAATATTACTGTCAGTGCCTTGGGGGAATAAATCATTTAATAAATAAACTTCTGGCTGGGATATGAAATAAATTGCCTCTGTCAGTCTTCTTTTTTTTATTCATTTGTTTTAATCCCTGAAACCTTAGCTTGGCGCCATGTTTACAAGAATTTGAACATTTCAGTCTGTTGGAAAGGTTAGAATGGTTTGTACAAGAATGTCTGACCATGCAATGGCACATGTGATTTGTTAACACCAACCTTTTCTTTCCTGTCTCAATCTTATTAATAGCCATAAAGCTAATGCATGCATATTGCCTGTTGAAAAACAAAAAACAACACACAATGAAAATTGTCTACATTTTCTGTCTGTTCCAGTACTTAGCTAACAAGTATCATCAATTTGGTCCCTCTAACTAGCTAGTGCTAGAAACATTGTGCTCTTTTTTACATTTATGTTATCTGTACAGTGTACAGTTGGTTGTAAAAAAGGCAAAGTCTGCATACCCAACAATGGCCCATCAGGCCAGCACTTATCCCGGTTTCAGTAGCATGAAGTGACCAGGAGTATTTCTACTCCCCCCTGGATGGGATGCTAGTCCATCGCAGGGTTATCCCCAGCATTAAATTCACCAGGACCCATTTACACACCTGGGTGGAGAGAGGCACTATGAGAGTAAAGTGGCTTACCCAAGAACACAACACAATGCCCTCAACCAGGGCTCGAACCCAGACCGCTTGATCGGAAGGTGAGTGTACTAACCATGAGGCCACAGTGCCTCCACACAGTGTAGTTGTACGAGCATAATACACAGTGAGTTTAAGATACCTTGCCAAAGGATCTGGCAGCAGGAAAAGCTTCTTTACAGTGTCAGCAAGTCCTCCCCCCTCAGTCTCTTCTATTGTCCTCAGAACATTTTTCATGTTGTCAAACTAAGGACAGTACATTGAAAATAAAAGAACACTTAGAATACTGCACAGATACCAATACTGTAATTTCAATAAAGACATGTCAAGAGATGAGCAGAACAGAAACAAGATTAATCTATTTTCAGGGACTTCTTGATGCACTTGGACTGTTCACACTACCAGTGAGGAAATATAGAGTGACATAGTTTACATGTACAGTACAATGACGTGAGAGTTGACAATGAACTCAAAACAACGAAACTAACCAGTGGGGCATCAGAGTAGCCTTTGAATCCAGAACTAATTAACAAAAAATCAATAATTTATACAAAATGATGCCCACTTTTCACATTGCCAAATGGTTTTACTTTCCAATGAAAAATCCTCTAACTGTGAAAATTTCCATACGTACATTACTTTTGATCATGATGCCCCATAAAATGTATCTCTCTCCTAGCTGATCTACATACATGTACACTGCACTGCCTAATAGATTTAAAAGCACTCACAACTGTCAAGATCATTGTCACCTTTGAGGGAGGGTTCATGCCCACCGCACCTCCCCCCACCTTCCTACTTTTGCCCCAAACCATGAATCCACCAATAACAACCCACCTGTCGGCGGCAACTTTTGAGAGGTATATTTGTCTTCTCACTGATGTCATCCAAGTCTTTCCTCAAACGTCCAGTCAACTTTTTGCCTAATAGTTCACGCACTACCTCCTTGTCAAACTGATAATACCTTATGACCCAGAAAGAAAAAATGATGTTACTGAAAGAAACAGACCACTTTCCATATCATTAGTCAATTACATTGTTATCAGTTTTGCAGGGGTTTCATTAAGGGCCAGGCACAGGGTAAATTGACTGGCTGTGAGGACAGTTTTGCCAACCTAATCAGACCATATGGAGGAAAGTTTTTCTTATAAAGATGTTCAGTTCAAAAAGTTTTGCCCGTGTGTGAAAACCAGTTACCCTTCTGCTGGAAACAAGTCATTATTGAATCCCTTGAGTGTGAGCACACAGTGAATTGAATAAAATTCATATACATGTAATTTCAACTGTTTGTTAATTAGTGTGCAGTTTGTATGAAAACCATTATGTGAATAACCTCATACTTTTCGATAAGCATATCTTGAACATCTGGTGAAATCTGTAACAGCATCTGTTTGGCAAGCATTGGAGGAGACTGCAGGAAGCGTTCCAACATGAAGAACAAGCGAAACTGGTCATAAGTATCACTCGAAATGATGGCATGAGATGCACCAAAATTTTTGAATACTTCATCACATTCTCTCCTCTGAGCAGCTTCATTTTCTGGTAGATTAGAGAAACATTGATTTAATTGCACAACACTTATTTTTTGTTTTTAACATTCATAGGGCTTGGAACGTGTCCTATAAAAGCCTTCCGCATTACTTAAAACATTGAAAATTGAATAACTGCTTGTTTAGGTTTAAGTGTGACTCAGACACTCCCTCCCTCCCTGCCATGTTACACATACATGTACCACTCCCCCTCCAGCCCATTCTCACCTTGTTGAAAACATAAGGCTATTACTAACTGATACCAGGTATTTTTTTATGTATTTTTTGTCCTTTTTACTTTTCTTTACAAGCGTGATTAATTAATTCAAAATTAAATTAATGCAATATAATTTCATCTCTTACACGACTTGAGCTTATGTAATCTGAACTTCCTCAAAAAAACATTTTTCCCCAGGAAAACTTCAGTTGCCAAGTAAGCTTAATACATAGATTTAGGCAAGCCTAAGGCCGCCGTAAACAGGTGTTAAATTAAACTACCAAATAACTCATTGACCACAACGCGAAGCCTTACCAGAGAAGCCTTCCAACCACAAGCAGTAAACTTGAAGATCAATAAAAGTGGGATCCATGAAGAATACATCTATGTCTTCCATGTTTTCTTTTAATGACAGTCAACGAGTGTTAGGCTGCTTCCAAAATTAGCATGTTGGCTTGATAAATGCGTTATTCTTGCCCAAAATGTTCCACTATCAACACCTCTGCTTTGTCTCGTCCGCCGACTCGTCCGCCATCTTCTACACGGCGACTCGAATCAGCGGTCTTACGTTCCAATGTGCATAAATGTGTATGATGCACCATTTATACCTGAGCGGAGAGTCTCATGAACTGATGTCAAACTGTCTGCCAAAACGAAAGTTGAAAGCTAATTTTCTCAAAGGATAAATCTCCCCATGCTTTCTGCCTTTGGGGTTTGGCAATAAATAAAATCATACCCCCTCTTGCCATTTAAGGAGTGCTGGAAATTTTAAAAAGAATACCATTTCCCAGGTTTTTTTTTTGTTGATATCCGAACTGGGGCACACGCACGGCAACATTCCGAAAATGCTCTGAAAAGAGTGGCAGTGCTCTGAATATTACTTGGGTTGAATTTCTGCTAGCTTCTGCTCATACTGTTCTATTCCATGAATGAAGAGTCTTACCCCTACTGTACTGACAAGAAACACTGTTGAGTCGGCACTGACAAAAAAGTTTTTCACTAGGAGGTTTCACTAGGTTTTTCACAAGGAGGGCATGCGCATGTAAGGACTGTAAGAGTCCAAAGTACACCGTGCTCCGGTGGGTGGTTTATGTTTATGACAAATAAGGCAATGCTGTGGCCACAGGGGCGGATCCAGGATTTTTCAAGGGGGGGCGGTTACTGGTACCGTTGGGGTTACAGAGCCAGTGGAGCATGTTCCCAAAATGTTGCAATTTTAGAATTGCACAGAATTGGAACTCGTTTCACTAGAAATACTAGCCTCGCCACAAATTTACAATGAGGTAACTGTCCAGAGAGTTTGCCTTTATTTCTGCCATAATATTCACAACCTCATTCAAACTGAGTTATGTCAGTTTGCCTCTCCAAAAACGGGGTGGCTAGCCACATAATACAACACTCCCNCCACCACCACCACCTTAATCAGCCCCTGGGCCGCTGACCCGTAGACTTAGGTTGTTTTGTTCCTCTAACACCAACAGACACACAATCAAACTGAGTCAGTCACTTAACCCTTGGGATGTTAGGCTCAATCTTGACAGCTATAATCTAATCAATATTCAGTTTTAGCCCTTCTTGTCTTTCCCTGTGGCTAGTAGTAAATAGTAGTTTTAACACAATCTCAAACTTCTCTCGTTTCCCATCTCTGCCTGACCCCTTAGGCTCTTTGATGCCTCGTAGTGTGTGGGGGTGCTGGTTTTCTCTACAAAGTGTGTGGAGCACACAAATTCAGTTATCATAGCCACATTTAGCAAAATCGCAAATCCAATCTGATTCAGGTTGACAAGAAATGATTTCTATATTATTTTATATATCAAAACATAGAGCAAGAATAGCGCTGTCAATGACTTTATTTCTGTACGAATGTAGGGGCCAAATTTCACGGCAAATGCCATGGGAACGAGGTTAGCGTAGGTCGGCGAGCGACCATTTATTAACGTATTTATTATATACAGCGACAAGTCTGCGACATAATGTTTATACTGCAACAAGCTAAGCTAAGTATTATCACAATTATCTTTCAAAACTTTCTAGTGTGAGGTATTGTTGCATAAATTTTACCTCCTTCAACAATTTGTTGGATTTTGACTTTAATTTTTTGTCTGTGGACGAATTTCGAATTGCATGTACATATATTGGAACGTTTATGCCAAATGCAGCTACTAAATCAGTTTACCTTTTGTACAATGATTAATTTATGCCGCTGGATAATAAATTCACGAAATCTACATCAGTAATATCAAGTCTTTTTGCATTTCCTTTTAATCTACCTTTTCGTCTCTTTTGGGGAACTCAGTATGTCTGTTATATTTAACGCAATGACAAAGATCTTTAAGTCTGAAATCCGCATCGTAAATGATTCCACCATTCAGTGCTCAGCTAGAGATTCACGCAAACTTGCTGGTCTTGACTCTACCTCTTCATCTCGATTGACATAAGCAACAACCGTCAAAGCACCACTGCTGGGAGTGCTTCGTCTTTCAAACAGGCTTGGCACAGCTAGCGCTAACGAGGTACCGGGCAAGAAGCCTTGCGTTCCGTTATTAGGGTTCAATCTCGCTTGCAAGCCAGATGGCCTCGTCGTCGTGAACTGCGCGATTAGCGGACAGCA